TGTCTCACCATCTCCAATAAATCCTACAATTAGGAACTTTAATCCTACTATACCATTTCCTCAAAAACTTCAAAAGACTAAGAAGGGAAATCATTAACGAGATTATGCAAGTGTTTAAACAAGTCAAGATTAATGTTCCATTTCTCAATGCAATCTAACAAGTCATCTCTTATGCAAAATTCTTAAAAAGACTTGTATGCGGTCAAGCATGATTTGAATGTGCACAATAAAGCTTTCCTCACCAAGCAAGTTAGCTCAATCATCCTACACCGCACTCCACCTAAACTTAAGGACCCTGATTCTCCTACGATTTCATGTACTATAGGTGATAAAAAATGTGACGGTCCAAGTTTTACAAAGCCCGGTGCATCAGCGAGTGACCCAAAACTGACCTGATAACGGGTCCCAAATGCAGAAGCGAATAAAAGTGAAGTGGTATCTAGAGATGTATATCATCTCTAAGACGCCAAAGTGACTTCCCATAAAGTTACGGAACTCAAAAGAAAACAAAGTAGAAGCTAGGATTTCGAAACGATTAAAATACTTGACTAGAATTAAAATAGTCTTTTTCACATAGAAATGGATGCTACAGTGCATACCATTGGATAGGCAACAAAAAATTAATAAATTTAGACTCTAAAATCACCTGATTCGGAGTTAGAATGAAGAAGATATGATCAAATGAAGAAAGAGATTAAGAAAGCAACACATGACCATCTAATCTATTAGATGACAAAACAAAAAGGAAGAAAAACTACAGGAGGCCATCTAATCGATTAGATGCTCCATCTAATCGATTAGTAATCGATTAGATGGAGCATCTAATCAATCAGATGGTCTCGCAACCAGGAAATGTTGGAAAAATGCACTATTTTGAGGGCCAAGACGTAATTTTTCGGAAAAAGTTTGTGAAGCGACCTACCCTAAAAATGTGTTTTTTGATCAACCGTGGTCCAAACCAAAATTGAAATGCAAAAGAAAATGATGAAAATACCCCCAAGTGCAAACAATGCCGCTAAGATCATATGCATCTAATAAAAAGATATCATGATTGTGAAACAAGAGTTATGAATATATATCTCACAATGATAAACGCTTTACTAAACTACATCTCATGTTGTCACTACAATCAGGTTGAGCACGCAAAATACATTCATTCATACATATAGGCACACTAGACATTCAACTTAAAACATGGCAACATGACCATATACTTATAAAAGTAACAAATAATCTACATATAACATGCTCTGTCACATAGCAAGTAGATATAAGTCAAAACAAGCAAAACAAGTAACAACCAACATACTCACCACAAGGCACTAGGCCAACCTAATTACTTAACATTCAATCATGTTCAACAATCAACATATACCATAAGGCATGAAGCGTATAACATGTAGTGGCAAAACCATCAACTAGCATGCTCCAAGGGAAAAATATATGCACCTAACAATGCATGAAACTCAAATGAGAAGCCCTGTGCCTCTCACACATCTTATTAGCCATCTAAGTCCAAGACATGACGAGTGGCGAGGAAGGATGATAAATCACTTCCAAGCATTCGTGACCATATGCGACTCATCTAAAGAATGCATGAAACATAAAACACGACAATGTAAATAAGCATATAGATCATGCTAAGGCAATTAAGGAACGCTTTTAAACACTTAAGCACGTAAACATATGAACACATCAAAGCACGTCAACAAGAAGTATGAAATAAACCCAAACCCGTCGTCTATGGTTTTCGAACCCGAACGCTTTGATACCACTTGTGATGTCCCAACTTTTACAAAACCCATTATAGGGTCAGTTTCGGGTCACTCGCTGACATATCAGGTTTTGTAAAACTTGGGCCGTCACAAAAAAAATGAGCAAACTTTACTTAACTTAGATGTGAGTGTCAATCTATTGTCTTCCTTTGTTTATAAGCAACTTGGTCTTGGTGGTTTGAAACTCAAGAAGGTGGTGGTACAATTGGTAGATTGCTTAGTTAAGGTGCCTCGTGGTGTTATTGAAGATGTGCTCATTCAGACTGATAAATTATTCTTTCCGATAAACTTTATTGCCTTAAACGCTCAACCTGTAGCTAATACTAGTACCAGATTCCTATTACCCTAGTTCGTCCATTCTTAACCACTTCAAATGCTTTAATCAACTATATGAATGATGTTATGAAACTTTCATTTGGAAATATGTCGGTTGAGTTTAATGTTTTTAACATATGCCAACAAGAACCAGACTCTGAAGATACTTGTGATGTAAATGTAATAGAAAGTCTAGTTCATGGTACGTCTATACATGCAATATATAAGAACCCTATGAAACTTTTTCCCTTGGTTAAAAAGTTCTCTATAATTATCGGTTGCATTTGTTCCCAGGTAAGTTGATCCCGATGGTCTGGTCCATTCATTATTCGTATTGTTCATTCTTATGGGGCCTTTGAGATTAAAAAGTAGAACAATGGTGAGACTTTTAAAGTGAATGGTCAATGTTTAAAACCACACCTTAGATAAGAATGAAATTTGATTCCAAACATCTAAATAGTAATCTGATTAGTGCTCATGAAAAATGTTTCAAGGTTTAATTATAAGGGTCATTCACTAGCCGATAATGAGTGTAAAAGATTAAAAACTAAATTTAACTCTGACTCGATCTAGTGTTTGTCTCAAATACACTAATTATTCTCAAATTTGTTTTATAAAAATCATAATATGCAAATTCAATATAAAAAAATTTAGTACGCTACATAAAATTTGAAACTTTTATTATTTTTTAAACTGAGAGAAAAGAGAAAAAAATAAATAAAATAATACATACATATTTGCCCTACTCCCAAACCTAAACTCAACATTGTCGTTAATGTTAGACAAAATCAGAATGAAACACAAAAGAGATAAGGTTAGAAAAAATCACATGAAAAGTTAATAATCACATGAAAAGTTAAAAAATAACAATGTTTGCAGATGTCTCAATAACATAGTAGGTTAGTGCCTTTAGTGATTTTAGAGTGCTAGACCTCGACTCTCCCCTTGTAAAAAAAATATATATATATAACAATGTTATCTTAGTGCTTTTGAGGTATTAGAACTTGAATAATGGGTTCATATAACTCATATTATTAACGAAAATGAATATTTTGCGATGAATGATAATAATTATTAGAATAGATATGCGCCGACTGAAAGTGATTTTGGAGTGCTAGACCTCGACTCTTCCCTTGTAAAAAATAAAAAAATATATATAACAATGTTATCTTAGTGCTTTTGAGGTATTAGGGTTTTTTTTTTTTTTTTTTTAAAAAAGAACTTGAATAATGCGTTCATATAACTCATATTATTAACGGAAATGAATATTTTGCGATGAATGATAATAATAATTAGAATAGATATGCGCCGACTGAAAGTGTGAGAGATATAATAGGAAATGACGTGATACAATAAAACCATCGGTTGCACCAATAGAAAAGAAAAGAATAGTTTATATACAAATTTTAAAAATATATATACAAATTTTAAAAATATAGAAAAAAAAGATTAACATGTAATGAGATAAATATCAATGGTACAAAAAAGTTGAATATAATATGAGAAGTGACTTATATGTCCAATCTCATTCATGGACGTATCAAATTTTTTTTTTTTAGGGACACATTGTACACTAAAAACATATAAATTAATATTTATGGAGTATATATATACATAAAGAGATATATGTAGATATATATAGAGATTGATATTTTTGTTATAAGGTAAATTAATAAATTATATATATAGAATATGATGAATGAATAATTTAAATACCGATGTTAGGGGAGGATTGTTAAATGAACGTATTATCTCATAAGATTGAGATAGACTCTACAGATTATGATAAGGATAAGACTAACTACACGACTGTAGCTCTATGTTACATCCTGACCTAAGCCCTATAAAAAAAGATTACTTTAAAAAAAGATTACTTTAAGATATGAAGGGTATCCTAACTCAACTTATTGATCTTGACCTAAGTCCTATAAAGAAAGATTATTTTAAGGTATGAAGGGGATCCTAACTCAACTTCTTGATTTCTCTCGAGAGATTAATTTGTATACTGATTTGTTCGTGAGAGCCTACTCCACGGTAACACACCAGTGCTTGTAGGATCATTTTTTTTTTTTTTCTTGTTCAGGAAATCAGATCAGATCCGAGTCGCGTAGAATCCATCGTCAAGAGAATATAATGAAACAATTTAAGAAAAAAAACATTTAAGGAAATATATATTGTATATAAGGGGAGGAGAAATTTCAGGAAACATTTTTATACAATTTTTAAAAAATATATACATATTATAGGAAAATATATATATATAATAAAGGAAGAAAAAAATTTAGAGTCGTGGTAACTCAACAATATTTTATAATATTTTTAACTATTATTTTAAAAGTAATGTTTTTCGATAATTTTTTCATTATTACTCCGTACTTACTTTTATTTGTTTGTAACCCGCGCATCTAGGGTACACCCCAGCGCAGTCTTAACGTGGCTCCCTGCGCGCATCCCAGCATGCAGTCCAAGCTCACCCGAACGTGCAGCCAAGTGCACCCCAACGGACAACCCATCGCATTGCAGCTTGGTCCCTGATCTCATTCACGTGAAATTAAATCGATAATGATCGTGAAGACACGTAATTAAACCTAACTTGAGAAAATGTCAATGTATTGAACACTATAATAAATGGTATATAAATAATTCGGATACACACGAGTGGAGCGAGATAAAACGTCGTTGTTACTGACCTCCGGCGCTCAAACGCTTTGCAGTTGAGTTATTTTCCCAGCGGGGCCCACATAAGCCAAATATTAAAACACAAAATCCAGTCAGTAGTGGGTTCAATTCACAATTTCCCAAAGTCCACCAGATGGGGGAGTGGGAGAGAGAGACAGTAAGCACGTGCGAAAGCTTCATGGGACCGAGTGTCGCACGTGTCTCAAGCCAAACAGATGGGTTGCTTGGTTTTGGCAATCGTTTTGTTTTTGTTTGCAAGGAAAGAAACGCAGGTGGGTCACAACAACAAGAAGAAGAAAGGCCGGTTCTCTTTTTCTGAGAAAAATCATCATTCACCAGAAGCTTGTTTTCTCCCACTTTCTCTCTCTACAAACCCATATATAATTATACATATATATATACACGCATATATTTATAAACATCAAGAAACTGCTCATACAAATAGAGAGAAAAAAATAAGATCTTCGCCATCTGAATCTTTATGGAACCGCTAGTCAACTTCATAATTCGGCCCCCCAGGTGACAAATCGACCACTTTCAAGCTCTCTTTTTCTATACATACATACATATATAGATATATATGTGCGTGTGTATATATACTCAAAGTTCTCATCTTCCCCCAAATTGTGATGTGGGTATTCTCTTTACGGGTTTGGGTTCAAGATTTATGCTGAGTTTGATCCATTTATGGTTTTATTATAATTGTTTACTCTGTATTTGGTATTTCGGTGTGGTGTAGAATTAATGCTCTTTTGAGTTCTGTAAGATTTTTTCTCTTTTTGTGAAATCTTTGATTTCAGATTTATTCATGCTGGTCACTTGATTTGTTGGATTTTGAAGTTACTTTGATTTAGCTTTTAAATTTGCTCATTCAGTAATTGTCTACATGGAAAGCCAGGTCTAAAAGTTTATATTTTTCGTATTGCTTCTTATAAGCAGACTGATTAAATGCAAATTTATTTTTATTCATTTATTTTTTGATAATTAGGAGAATAGTTAAATGTAATTATGTTGTGTATGTGTGTGTATACGATTGTTAATTATACATAACTCCAATTTTCTTCTTAATGATTATCTCAAGTTAGACTTTGTTCTAGATGTAACTAAGTTTGTTACCTTAGTAATGCCTTTGAGCCTTTTTATTCAACATTTCTAAAAATGATTTAGAAATGTATAACGGGTCTACATCTTCTTGGACTGCAGAGCTGAATACGACCCTAAAAATGATTTGTTGGACCAAGAGTTCATGCTTAAAGGAAAATGGTTCCACAGGAAGGATTTGGAGGTAAGATATAATTCTTACGCAAATGGCTCTCTCTTATTTATTTATTTTTTAAGGTGTGTTCTTATCTTTTGTCATAATCTTAAAATGATTATCACTAGTAAAAGTTAGATATATATATATATATATATTTTTCCAACCCCTGCAAGTTGATCCTCGCCATTTTGATTGTACTCTTGAATCTTGCATTGAAAGAGAGATGGAGAGTGGAAAAGGAAACAAATGTGACTTAGTCAATATGCTGCACTTGTTTGTATCTGTGAAATACTGGTGATGTAGGGTGAGTTCAATTAACACCTTTCTACTAGTTATTTTACCAAAGTTGACATAGGACAACCATTAAGAGGGATATCACCACCAATATTTACTGCTTCATCTCTGGGGAAAGGTTAGGAAACTTGTGTAGTTTTGGGGCTCGTAAAATGTAAAGAAAGGAATATGGTTTGGGGGCTGTTGCTAACCAGGGAAATAGAATTTTAGGGTTGTTTAGGGGCTGTGAACAATAACTGCAAACAGCGTAGTAACTGGATAGTGTTCTTACGGGTGGATGATTGAAGTAGGTAAAGGTGAGACTTCTGCAATAGAATTGAGTAGAAAAAGGAGTTAAAGCGAGAGGGCTTGGAAGCTTATAAAGAACAGAAAATTAAAATAGGAAAGGGTAAAAGGTAAAGGATGTTGGGAATGCTCCCAGAATTCTTTAGGCATCACAACCTAGGGAGAGAAGCGCATCATCTAATCTCAATGGACATAGCTAAAAAGATTCCTCTTAGCTTGTTCTCTATTGAATGGAAAAGGCTTTGCTAAGTTCCCTATCCCAAGACCAGTAAAAATGCATAAAAGAGGAATAAAATGCCATATATACATATCCAACACTCAACTGCTAACAAATAAAACCCATGCACCAGTACCACACTACAATGCACTTCCCCAAAAAAAAAAAAAAAATTTGAAACAATGAAAAATGTGGAATGATGGTTGAACGTATATTTTTTTCGGCAAGTGATGGTTGAATGTGTTAAATAATTTTGAGAAAACTATTAGACTGGAATCCTATGTTCTGATTAGAGTATGCACAAGGTCGTGATCTAGACCTAGAAGCGGGATGAATAGGTCTTAATTCAAATTATAACTATCTTTTAACTCATTTTAAAATTTCAGCAGAACAAAAGTTACTTAAAAATCTACCTAACTAGTATCTAAATCAAACCATCCATGATGTTAATCGAGCATGTGAAAATATGAAAAGTAATAGAAGAAGGTAACCACACACAGAGCACATGGATTTTTATGTGGAATACCCAAATGGAGAAAACCTCGGACTTGTGCTCTCCTTCCTAGTATCATCTCTGCTTAGATGGTGTTGAATTTTTTTTTTGTGAAACTTTAAACTTGACAATTAAAGGTCACACTCACCATGCTAGATGTATGATTTTTTTTTTTTTTTTTGATAAGTCATGCTAGATGTATGATGAATGTGAAAACCATAAAACTCTAGCAACCATAGATTTATAGAATGCACAATGAATGCTTTTGAATAGGTATGGATGCTCAATATAGTGTGCTCAGGTTTTCTGAACTCTAGGAGCATTTTTATAGGGTTTTGAGACTAGGTTTTTAAGAGTGTTAACTATATTTGGAAACCAAAAATTGAGGCCTTGCTTGGATTGTATTTTTAAAAACAATTCTCAAGAACAGTTTTCAGAAAATCAGAATAGAAAACAGTTTTCAGTTTTTTCAGTTTTTCAACCTGCTTGGTTGGAAAAATTACGAAACAGTTTTCAAAAAACAAAAACTCATAAAACTGATTGGTTAAAAATAGTTTTATAAAAATAAAGAATATTGCATATCACTCATTTATTTTTTATTTATTTCTTAGATTTATTATAAAAATTAGATGTGAATTACTCTTAAATATTTTCAAATTAACAAAAAATGCACTAAAAATGAAAAAGACTTGTATTATGGGTGCTTCTTTCATTCATAACATTACATGAATTCAATATCTACATACATAAACCATCTCATCATAGGAATTGTGTAGCAAAGAACTGCTCTTGTATTTTGGGTTTCTTTCATTCATAACATTACATGAATTCAATGTCTACATGCATAAACCATCTCACTTCTCATCCAAACTTTTTTTTTTTTTTTTTGATAAGTCTCACTTCTCATCCAAACTTAAAAGGCAATTAATAGAACAAGCATATATTCCATGTATGACATGGAAAAAAATGAAATATGTGATTCTATTTGGATGAACATCATACGAAATCAAATTTGGATGAACATCACTTGTAAAAGTATGTGATTCTATCCCATGAGACCTTGCTTCATAGAAGTTAACTGCATTCGGTCCTTGACTCGTGCTAGCATTCCCCTCACCAACAACATCATCTTCTTCTTCATACCCCATAAAAAAGCAACCAACTAGTGCATTTTGACGGATAAAATTATGAATAGTGCAACAAGTAATACCTGCAATTATAAAAATAAATGAATCAGTTGATTTCATTAGACAAAATAAATCAAAGACCATAACGTATAAAATATTTTCTATACTTTGTACAAGACTTAGAAGAGTTTATGGTTCACATAGGAAAAATAAAGAGAGGACATCTAGAATTATCTAGACAAATTAATTTAATTCAAACCCCATTACAATTATTGGTAAGAATGTCAAGAAAGTGAATGTGTGGATTTTAGGCTTCGTAGTGGCGTTCTCGGAGTTTTGTGTAAGCTGGACATTGAGAAACCCTATGATCATGTTTGCTGAATTTCTTGTTCTATTTGCTTGAGAGGATGGGTTTCGGTGAGAGATGGAGGAAATGGATTGTTTCTTGCGTTTCGTCTGTCAGATTCTCGGTGCTGGTTAATGGTTCCCCTTCTGGGTTTTTTTGGTAGTTCTCGTGGTTTGAGGCAAGGGGACCCCCTCTCCCCCTTCTTGTTCATTATTGTTATGGAGGCTCTTAGTAGGCTGATGAGGAGGGCTGTTTCATTGGGGTTTTTTCGGGGCTTCAAGATAGGTCCTAAGGCAGTTCATCAATTGGAGATTTCTCACTTGCTGTTCGCGGATGATACATTGGTTTTTTGTGAGGCAGAGGTGTCCTAATTGAGGTACTTGAGATGTGTCCTGGTCTGTTTTTAGGCTGCTTCTGGTTTGAGAATCAACGTGGGCAAGAGTGTGCTTGTTCCTGTGGGGGAGGTTCAGGAGGTGAATTCCCTAGCAACTATTCTTGGATGTAGGACGGGTTCCTTCCCTATCTCTTATCTGGGTTTGCCCCTTGGGGTCTCCTCAAGAAGGGTGGGTTGTTGGGATCCAGTTATTGAGCGCTTCGAGAGAAGGTTAGCTAGATGGAAAAAACAATATCTTTCGAAGGGAGGAAAAGTTACGCTGGTGAAGAGTGTCTTGTCTAGCCTCCCAACTTATTTCCTCTCCCTGTTCTAGATTCCTTCTTCTGTTGTCAGGAGACTTGAGATGATTCAACGTAACTTCCTTTGGAGTGGTAGGGGGGAGGAGTTTAAGTATCATCTTGTTCGGTGGGACCAGGTTTGCAAGCCTCTAAGTCATGAGGCCTTGGGATTCGGAGGTTGGTCCCATTCAATAGGGCCCTTCTTGGCAAATAGCTTTGGAGGTTTGGCAGTGAAAGACGTAGACTTTGGAGGAAGATTGTTGCTTGTAGGTTTGGGGAGGATAGAGGGGGTTGGTCTCCTAGACAGGCTAGATCTGCTATCGGCGTGGGTGTGTGGCAGTCTATTAGGAAGGGTTGGGATGAGTTTTCTAATCATATTAGATTCAGAGTTCGGGAAGGGCGGAGTGTCCGATTTTGGGAGGATCCTTGGTGCGAGGAACGTCCTTTGTGTTAACAGTTTCCAAGGTTGTTCAGGATTGCTGTGGATTGCCATGCTATGGCTGTTGACTGCTGTGGCCTTGATAGCGATAGGTTATGTTGGGATGTTCGGTTCTGGCGAGCTTTCTAGGATTGGGAGCTGGATGATGTCACTGCTTTTTTGGATCTTTTGTATCGTCAGGAGGTGGAGGGCACGGGGGTGGACCTTTTGACTTGGGTGCCTTCTTCGCGGGGGACTTTTCAGGTCCGGTCTTTCTTCTTCTTGTCTTTCCAGTTTTCAGGCTCCCTCTTATCCATGGAAAACGGTTTGGCATTCAAAGGCTCCTCTTAGGGTGTCTTTTTTTGCTTGGACTGCTGGTTGGGGCAAAATCCTGACTCTGGACAATTTGAGGAAGAGGAGACATGTCATTGTTAATTGGTGTTGTCTGTGTATGACCAATGGAGAGTCTGTGAACCACCTTCTCTTGCACTGTCCAGTGGCCTATGACTGTTAGAGTCTTATGTTGGGTCTTTTTGGCGTTCAGTGGGTTTTGCCTCGGACCTCACAAGGTCTTATTGATATTTGGAGGGGACAGAGGGTGGGGGCTCGAGTTCGCGACTTCTGGAGGGCGACTCCCCTCTGCATTTGGTGGTGTCTGTGGAAAGAGCGCAATAGAAGATCCTTTGCTGGGGAGGAATTACCCATTGGGGCTCTTAGGTACTCTATTATTTGTTCTCTTTTTAGTTGGGGCATGGGGAGAGATTGTTCTTCCGTTGCGGAGTTTTTGGATTTTTTGGGGTCTTTGGATCCCCAGGCTTTTTTTTTGTTTTATTTGCTTGTGGTTCTTATATAGCTCTTGGGATGCGTTCCCTTTTTGAACGCTTTCTAATACATATTTACTTATCAAAAAAAAAAAAAAAATGTCAAGAAAGGAAAAATAAAGAGAGGGCATCTAGAATTATCTAGACAAATTAATATAATTCGACCCCATTACAATTATTGGTAAGAATGTCAAGAAAAAAAATGTTACAATTATTTATGCCAAGAATATTAAAAAAATGCAACTGTACTCATCTGATTTTTAGTTTTATTTTCATTTTCCAAATCAAATATTTTTTATCTTAAATAATTTTAAGGAGTGGAAAAACATGTACATGAATGGATTCCATAAAAAA